GGGGGGGGGGGGGGGGGGGGGGTGGACTTGGTCAAACTAAACTAAAAAAAATTCCGGTCAATTTTGCAAATTTCCGGTCAAATTTCGTTTTGATCGGACGTTTTTCCGGACAAATTTTAAAATTATTTCAGGCTCTGTTTTCCCGGCCAAAAAAATCACTGGGCAAGAAAATACTTCTTTATCTACGTCTACATTACCTTTACTGCATTTTTTCTTTGGTTTTTCTTTAGTCTCAGTATGTTAGTCACCGAAAAAAGTTTTTTAAAGTTTAGGTTTATCGGCTAAATCTTGTCCGCCATATTTGTTATTGTTATTGCAACGTAAGCAGTTTAGCGGGTGAGTTCGAGCGAAAAGCAGGCGAGTTCGGCAAAAAGCAGGTGAGCTCGACGACAAACTCACCTGCTCTAAACCAATCAGAAAGCCGCTTTTAGCACAGGTATGGGATAAGAGTCCGAGTCAATAACTTGACTCGTTACAACACTGGTATTTGGTTGGTGGAAAAATGATGGGAAATGAGATCTAGACCCGCTTCAATACATGCACTTCTCTTGAGTTCATAAGATGATACTTTCTAGAGGAGGTTTTTTCTTTTTTATATTCATTACAATTGTCTGATGGAAAAGATTAACGGATCCGACTTTCTTTATTGCAGATAAAACAAACATGTCGCTAACTGGAATACTACTTGATGTTTCTTGGTCTATGCAGAGGTACATTAGAAGCGGTATTGATGAAGAAGGTGGACCTTGGGCTCAGTCTATTTTTAATGTTATCGACGACCTTATTGAACATGAACTTACGCCTGAGAATCGTGTTTTTGCTATAGGTGTTGGTGCTAAATGTCCCGGCCAAGAAACATTTGATGTTATTGAAACCCTTCAGCCAAATGAAAACACAAACAGGCCTGCAACTGAAGACCACATCAACGAGATCTTTGATTTTCTCGAGAGAAACGGTGCACTCAACATACGTAAATGGACTTGTAAAACTGATGTTAAACTGATTCAAGATGTACTATCTGAATATATGGCAAAATTGACTCTGCAAGAATTTAAGTCAGACGAACAGTTTGTCAAAAAATTTGTGGATGAGTTTTTACCACCCGGTTGTCGAGACACAGTACCTACATCACCTCATGCCGGCGGCGTGCTATCCAATCTACGTAAAGCAGCGAACATGGTAGGGAATGCTACTATATGGGCTGCTAGTTGTTTTAGATTAGCTACAAGAGAGGATATCGAAGAAGTTGTAAGAAAGACAAAATGCTATTTTGAAGATGCGTCTCGTGTTTTAGAAACCCGCTCTAAATTCAGCGTGGAATATACCCCTTGTATTTTAGAAGACGTAGGAATCTACTCTATATTCAGTGTGCAAGATGCCTCCCGCATTATTCGTGGATGCGTCGGTGAGAAGGGACTTAACGAACTTTCTAAAAAGCGAAAGCAAGAATTACTTGAAAAGGTCGAGCCTCTCATTTACGGCAGAACGCCGTTGTATGAATCTCTCGAAAAGGCAATAACGCTTTTTGAAAGAGACGCTTCTGAGACCAAATTGCTTTTCGTGCTATCAGATGGACTGCCTACAGATGGCAATAATCAAGATAGCATCAAGATCAAGCAAATTACCTCCAAGCTGAGAGAAGCAAAAGTCAACGTAGTGTCCTGTTTCATCTCTACATCCACAAATATCGACCCAAAACGTTTGTACAATAAAATTCCACCTATTTGGGAACCTGGAGGCAAGGGTTGGGAACTTGGAGCCAAGTTTCTGTTTGCGTTGAGCTCTGAAGTACCAACACAGCATCTGCCACAAGCCATTTTGGTCAAACGTGGTTGGACGATCGATATCGCCAACAATGAAACAAAGTTGTTCATGCAAGTCAACCATCCGGATAACTTAAGGTAAATTTCAACAAGGCTTCCTCTATAGCTATCTAATAACATTCGGAAAATGAATAATGTGCATGGTGGCGGGGCTCGCATGGAAATTCGGGGCAACTTGGTCGCCAGTTTATATGTTTAGAAAGGCCATGCGTGGCCAATCTGTGCCGCATTCCTTCCAAAGACTTCTGGCATTCATGTCGCGTGTAATAACGTTGATAACAGTAATCTTGTACCCCAGTGAACTAAACATAACTGGAACGGTAACTTTTGGGATGCCATTTTTTTCTTGAAGCCAGACACGCGTGCCTGGGGGTTGAGACCCGCGTCAAGTTATGCCTCGCGATTCTCTCGCGAGACCAGTACAGGGAGCGAGCATGCCGTTTTAATAAGAAAAAATAAAAATAAAGTCTACTAGGAAGTTTTACTTAAATGAATGCATTTTTTGCTGATTGGCTAAAATAAACGGCAAAGAAACGTTTAAAATTAATGCTACATGATTGGAAAAGATGCAGCAGCCTTCAATTTTTAAAATAAAGCTAGGATGTCCTGCATAACGAAGGGATTATAAATAGTATATCGTATTTCACTCCTAACTTGATTAATTGTTAGCAGACAGTTTTTCAAGTTCGCGCATATTTTGGATGCGCAGTAGAACCGTGACACTGCCCCTTTAATAGAGCCGCTTTTCAAGAATATATATTCATGTTGACGGATTGACCGCGCTCATCGCATGCATGCATCTTCAAGTTTGGCTTCAAATTTTCGGTTGGAGGTAGCGTTCCAGTTATATTCATTTCACTGTTGTACCAAGAGTATGCCCGTTCGCAGGTTAGGTACCGTTATACATTATTGTGCTATACGAGATTGTGTTAAAAGCGAAATTTCCATATTATATCCCAAATAAGACATTTTACCTGAATAGTTTCAGATTACAATAATGTAAAAACCCTAATTTAATGTTTAGGACCATATAATTGCCCTAGCCGATGACCTGTTTAATGACTGTGATTGCTAAAGTCTAACTTATCTAACTCTGTTGCACAAGTATACAACGCAACCAGTTGCCCAGGGATCTAGAGCGCTTAAACACAATTCTGACTTCGATGTAATCACTTTCAGGGAAGCATGCCAAATGGCCAAAGATGTCGCTTGTTCCGCAGATACATTATCAGAATTGCTGGTATCTGTTGACCTCGACATATACATCAGCCAAACCACGATCGATTTTAAAGCGAAGGAACAAGAGGGAGGAACCTGCTACGCAAATGCATCTGCTGCTGTGCTTCATTTGGCAATGCAACGAATTCTCGGTCGAGAAGGCGGATATCCAGATTTTCACAAGTTGAAAGATGAAATGATCAAAGCCTATGGAATCGATGGTGCAAATACCAGTAAAGTTCTGCAGAAAATATGCCCAAGGTATCGTTTACACAGCCAAAACGTTTACATCAAGGAAGCGATGGAAGCTGTTGTCAAGAAGCGTCCCGTGGTAGCAAGATTTCGTCTAACGGGCGACGAATGGAAGGCTTTTTCAAATTTTTACGAGAATAATCCAACAGGAATACTCACGCAAAATGAACTTGATGTTCGTAAGCGTCCTACAAGTCCTCCGCCTCCCACTTCTGGCCATGCTGTCGTTTTGACCAGTTACAACAGCAAGTGTTTGACCTTCATGAATTCCTGGGGACAAAAGTGGGGCGACAATGGATTCTTCAGAGTACAAAATGCAAAAGTCCTTCAACTGAAATTCTTCGACGTTTACTGGACGTTGAATGACTTGACTGAAGGAGAGAAAGAGTATTATCATCAACATGGATCTGAAGTTGCTGCAAAGTTGGTGAACTCGTTGAAAGGCTTGCAAAAAGCGGAATACACCTGCCCAGAATGTGATCAAACATCGTTGGTTACTGAATTCTCTGGAACGCTGTCGAAAGTTCAGTGTCCGAAATGTTTGCGCGAATTTTCAACCAACGATAACGCAGGGAATATTCTGGCACTAAATATGTACTTGACATCTTTGAGCAAATGACTCATGTGCTCTGTATATTGAGAGGACGGAGAGGTATATTACTTGAAAAAGCTTTGTAATCCATAAAAAGTTTCATTGTAATCTATGGTATAGCATTGTATTTTTAGTCCTGAATTATATATCTCCGATGAGTAGATAGCTGTGCTCGGTATATCGAGGGTATATTACTCGAACATTTATTATTGTCTATATATAATTTCACCATGTTGTAATCTATAGTAATTGATTGTAATATAGCCAGTATTGAAGATTTGAAGGGGGGAAATTCGTATCTTGGGTGATTTGACATTATCCTCTGAAGATCAAAATTCACAACTGCAAAACTTCGACATCTAAGGCTAAGCACGAAAAGCACATAGCAGGCATGTAGCGGCTTTTCGTCCATGTTCCCATTCTACATATACACGTCCATTATGTTTTTCACGCACAGAGCGTTGGAGGACGAGGTGTTCAGTGTGGTTTAATGTTTTGACTTTCAAGGGACAAATCATGAAATGTGCTGTGTATTTTTGACGTCTTTTTACCCAGCAAAACACTAGAAACTTTGCAACTGCTTTTGTGCGAGAAAGGGCTTGTTTTTACGCAATTAGAAAAGGCCCTGTTCAGTGTATTTAGTGAATAAAATTGTCTGACAGGTTTGCTTATTAATAGCATGGAATTTTGCGACAACATAAACATTTTGTCTTCTTGGAAAACATCAACATTCAAGGTAATTTATTTCCGGTTGACGCTATAAAACGATGAATAATTTATGAATTTGGACCGCAAAATCCGTGGTTTTCTCGGTAACTTAACTTTCAGTTTCACCTGGAAAACGTTCAGATTAGTTTACAACAGCTTCCGAACGAATCAAGAACGAAATCGAAAGGTATGTAATTTCAATTTACTGAAAATGTTCGTGTCCCTAATTTGTGTTATTGCTCCAGTGCTTTACTAGTTCGGAAATCACTGCTTTACGAGACTTTTTAGTTTTAGACTTTCGAAAGTCTGGCAATTTAGTATATAGTCAAATATATCATCGACTTTGGCGGAACTGTTTTGGACCTTTGTAGGGAAAAATGAACTTTTTTGTAATTTGCACTCTCTGCATGGAGACTCATAATTTACGAATTTTTTATTTAAATGTACAAGACTTTGACGTGATTTTTTTTTCGAGTTATACAGTTCAGTGGAGAGTTTATCATGCACGAAAATAATTGGCAACTGAGTCCATAAAACGCAACGAATAGCAACAAATTTCAAAAAAAGGTTTAAAGGTATTTCATGCAGTTATACTGTGATTCAGGGATAGTAATATAGTATATGCGGCAAGTCAAGCGTTTCGACAATTGCGTTGCGTTGTTAACTTAAAAATGCGTCAGTCACTTCTTACCTGCTTGCCAAAACAAATTTGGTTGCCAAGTAGTAAACCGCTATTGCGTACACTGGTCTTCACTACAGTATTACAATTGTACTTGTGTTTGCATGCGAGCAGACCATGAGACTGCGCCGCCAAAATAAGTTATCCTAATTTTTCAATTTTACGATGCAGAGTTCCTTTTTCCACAATTCTCCCGCGACAACCAGGGCCGTAGCTAGCATGTATA